ATCCAGAGGAAGGCAAAACCCAGCAAAGCACGGTCCAATTTGCTCCTGCAGGGGAAAAATTCCTTCCTGATCTCCCGAGAGGCAATCGGATATTCCCGGGATCAACTTTACCTTCTTGAAATAATCAGTGCAAAGAAATCAAAAAGTTCACTAACTTCTCCAAGGTTGTAAATTTTGGTAGTAAACTCATTTGAACAAAAAAAAAGTTTCCTGCATCGCGTACAATGAGGCATCGCGTACAATGTCGCATCGCGTACAATGTGGCATCGCGTACAATGAGGCATCGCGTACAATGAGGCATCGCGTACAATGAGGCATCGCGTACAATGAGGCATCGTGTACAATGAGGCATCGTGTACAGTGAGGCATCGTGTACAGTGAGGCATCGTGTACAGTGAGGCATCGCGTACAGTGAGGCATCGCGTACAATGTTGCATCGCGTACAATGTCGCATCGCGTACAATGTCGCATCACCTACAATGAGGCATCGTGTACAATGAGGCATCACATACAATGAGGCATCGTGTACAGTGAGGCATCGCGTACAATGAGGCATCGCGTGCAATGAGGCATCGCGTACAATGACGCATCACATATAATGAGGCATCGCGTACAATGAGGCATCGCGTACAATGAGACATCGCGTACAATGAGACATCGTGTACAATGATGCATTGCGTACAATGAGGCATTGGGTACAATGAGACATCGTGTACAATGAGGCATCGAATACAATGAGACATTGCGTACAATGACGCATCGCGTACAGTGAGGCATCGCATACAACGACGCATCACGTGCAATGAGGCATCGCGTACAATGAGGCATCGAATACAATGACACATCGCGTACAATGACACATCGCGTACAGTAAGGCATCGCCTACAATGAGGAATCGCGTACAGTGAGTCATCGCGTACAGTGACGCATCGTGTACAGTGACGCATCGCCTACAATGACGCATCGCGTACAGTGAGACATCGCGTACAATGAGGCATCGCGTACAATGAGACATCGCGTACAATGACGCATCGTGTACAGTGACGCATCGCCTACAATGAAGCATCGCGTACAGTGAGGCATCGCGTACAATGACGCATCGCGTACAATGAGGCATCGCTTACAGTGACGCATCGCCTACAATGAAGCATCGCGTACAGTGAGGCATCGCGTACAGTGAGAGGCATCGCGTACAGTGAGGCATCGCGTACAGTGAGGCATCGCGTACAGTGAGACATCGTGTACAATGATGCATTGCGTATAATGAGGCATTGGGTACAATGAGACATCGCGTACAGTGAGGCATCGCGTACAGTGAGGCATCGCGTACAGTGAGGCATCGCGTACAGTGAGGCATCGCGTACAACGACGCATCGCGTACAATGAGGCATCGAATACAATGAGACATCGCGTAACAATGACGCATCGCGCACAGTGAGGCATCGCCTACAGTGAGGCATCGCGTACAGTGAGGCATCGCTTACAATGAGGCATCGCGTACAGTGAGGCATCGCGTACAGTGAGGCATCGCATACAATGAGGCATCGTGTACAATGAGGCATCACATACAATGAGGCATCGTGTACAGTGAGGCATCGCGTACAATGAGGCATCGCGTACAATGACGCATCACATATAATGAGGCATCGCGTACAATGAGGCATCGCGTACAATGAGACATCGCGTACAATGAGACATCGTGTACAATGATGCATTGCGTACAATGAGGCATCGGGTACAATGAGACATCGTGTACAATGAGGCATCGAATACAATGAGACATTGCGTACAATGACGCATCGCGTACAGTGAGGCATCGCATACAACGACGCATCACGTGCAATGAGGCATCGCGTACAATGAGGCATCGAATACAATGACACATCGCGTACAATGACACATCGCGTACAGTAAGGCATCGCCTACAATGAGGAATCGCGTACAGTGAGTCATCGCGTACAGTGACGCATCGTGTACAGTGACGCATCGCCTACAATGACGCATCGCGTACAGTGAGGCATCGCGTACAATGAGGCATCGCGTACAATGACGCATCGTGTACAGTGACGCATCGCCTACAATGAAGCATCGCGTACAGTGAGGCATCGCGTACAATGACGCATCGCGTACAATGAGGCATCGCTTACAGTGACGCATCGCCTACAATGAAGCATCGCGTACAGTGAGGCATCGCGTACAGTGAGGCATCGCGTACAGTGAGGCATCGCGTACAGTGAGGCATCGCGTACAGTGAGGCATCGCGTACAATGAGGCATCGCGTACAATGAGACATCGTGTACAATGATGCATTGCGTATAATGAGGCATCGGGTACAATGAGACATCGCGTACAGTGAGGCATCGCGTACAGTGAGGCATCGCGTACAGTGAGGCATCGCGTACAGTGAGGCATCGCGTACAACGACGCATCGCGTACAACGAGGCATCGAATACAATGAGACATCGCGTAACAATGACGCATCGCGCACAGTGAGGCATCGCCTACAGTGAGGCATCGCCTACAGTGAGGCATCGCTTACAATGAGGCATCGAATACAATGAGGCATCGCGTACAGTGAGGCATCGCGTACAGTGAGGCATTGCGTACAGTGAGGCATTGCGTACAGTGAGGCATTGCATACAGTGAGGCATTGCGTACAGTGACGCATCGCGTACAATGAGGCATTGTTTACAATGAGGCATCGCATACAGTGACGCATCGCCTACAATGAGGCATCGCATACAATGAGGCATCGCGTACAATGAGGCATCGCGTACAAGCACATTATGAAAGACTTACCTCAGAACGAAGCCCTCCAGTGGAGTGTTGTCACCACTGACAGGGCTTCCATCTTCACCCGATCTTCCTCTTGGGTTCCTGGGCTGCAGCTGATTGAATGGCCGAGCCACCAATGACACCACTCCCGCGCGGGAGTCTCAGCCATGGCACACAGCTCTGAAGGGACAGCACAGGTAGGCCATTCCTTCACAGTGTATGTGCCAGTGGTGTCACCGGCTGCGGCCCCGTGGATACGGGTAAGCTTTATTATAAGCTTGCCTTGAGGTAAAAAATATAAAACGAGAGTTTATTATCATGTCACAGCTTTAGTTCCATCACTGACCTGTAAGGAAAGAAATCCCAGTATGTACAGACTGCTGGATTCTGTGGAAATCTTCACTGCAGTTATGCCCAGTCCTCTTCCTGCTGCTGAACTTCTGCCACTGTGGGGGTTAACAGTTTCAAGTCTCCTGGGTCAGCTGCACTAAATGTTTCAATGGGGATACGCCCTCTCCTGTCCCTCCTCCATGGAGAAAAGGTCTTTCACTCTTTACATGCCTGTAACATGATCTGTGAATGGAGGAGAGTCTGATCAGTCATATGATTCCCTCCTCCAATCAGTGTGGGACACTGTTGGAAAATGGAGGCACTATAGAGGGTTAATGACTCAGCAATAAGCTGGCTGGCTCTGCAGTGGGCTGGAGACACCGTGGAAGGTTGGGGGACAGTATAGGACACTGTTGAAGATTAGGGGTACTATGGAAGGCAGTAGAATCTGCAATAGGCTGCAGGTTACTGTGGGAAGTTGGGGACACTGTGGATAGATGGGGGTACTGTACTCCTCTAATGGAGAGTTGGGGACATTGCAGGAAGTTGGGGGCACTGTGGGGCTGTGGGACACTGCATCCACTATGGAGAATTGGGGGGCACTGCACTCCACTATGGAGAATTGGGGGGCACTGTGGGAAGTTTTTTGGCACTGCACTCCACTATGGAGAGTTGGGGGATACTGTCAGAAATTGGGGAGAACTGCAATCCATTTTGAAGAGTTGGGGCACTGCAGGAAGTTGGTGGCACTGTGGGGTTGTGGGGCACTGCACTCCACTATGGAGAGTTGGGGGGCACTGCATTCTACTTTGGAGAGTTGGGGTCACTTTGGGAAGTTGGGGGGCACTGCACTCCACTATGGAGAGTTGGGGGCACTGCAGGAAGTTGAGAGCACTGTGGGGCTGCGGTACACGGCACTCCACTATGGAAATTTGGGGGCACTGCACTCCACTATGGAGAGTTGGAGGCACAATGGGAGGTTGTGGGCACTGTGGGGCTGTGTAACAGGGCACTCCACTATGGAGAGTTGGGGGGCACTGCACTCCAGTGTGGAGAGTAGGGGAGCACTTTAGAAAGTTGGGGGGGCACTGCACTCCACTATGAAGAGTTGGGGGGCACTGTGGGAAGTTGGGGGGTACTGCACTCCACTATGGAGAGTTGGGGGGCACTGCACTTAATTATAGAGTGTTGGGTGGTTAGGAGACCTGCAGCTCACTAGAGACCTGGTAGGAAGGATGGCTGGGAACCGCCATCTTAGAGCATCCCCAATTTCCCTGTAATATAAAATGATCCAAACATTTAGCGGTCCCTACGGATTTCCAGTAGAAGAAATTGGTGAGGTGAGGTTTTCCCCTCCGCAAGTCCCCCAATTCGCACACTCAAGAGAACCGCACTGCAGCCAATGAGAGGTAATTATATTATTTTATGTTCTCATCATTATTGTGTAATGGCCACTAAAACAGACGGCGCTGTCATGGAGTCCGGCTTTACCGCAAGTAAAATCGCCGTTTGTGCCATATTAAAATGCTTTATTGATCAGAGGCCTCCGACTTACAGCTCCATCACCGGGGCTCTAACTTCCGTTATTTTCATTCATGTCACTTACAGCCAAAATACTTTTCATGATTGATTTAAAGAAATTCCTCTGAAACCGGACAGGCGTCTCTGTCGCTAGCTACACTGGCGGCCCCTTCTGCAATCCTTTGGAGAACTATGGACCGATAGGAATTCATATTTCTCACCGCTGCAAGGCTTGTGACTAGCATATATTTTTGCAGCACCCGAAGGCTTACTTTTATCTTCCCATGTATCTGCTTGCTTTATTCCTCATCACTTCATACATACATATGGGGATTTTCACCTTGTCTTCCTTGATGCATGCAGATCCTCTGCTTGAAGAATGGTCCGGGTGCAGAGCCAGTCTTCTCTAATAGGGGGGTTCTAGCCAGCTCACTGGACCTTATGGACATTTGTATGCCAATGTCCCTTACATTTGTGGTCAGTGGAGAAGAATGTCCCTTACATTTGTGGTCAGTGGAGAAGAATGTCCCTTACATTTGTGGTCAGTGGAGAAGAATGCCTCTTACATTGGTGGTCAGTGGAGAAGAATGCCTCTTACATTGGTGGTCAATTGGAGAAGGAGGAAGATACACTAAAGGAGCTCTCCCTGAGAACCAGAGTTTTTGAAGCCTGGGACTTGCCTGCTAGCTTGGCCCAGGAACCATGCCTGATCCAGGGGGAGGCCCTGGGAGGGATCACCCTGATGACACAGGGCCAAGTGAGGAGGAAGGGGTAGAGGACCTGACTGTTGGTCCAGGCACTGGTGAGAATGTGGATATGGATGTGTACAGACTACATATACCTCAGCATCTCTCCCACCATGTCAGGCTACAGAGTTGTCAGCGACAACCAGCCAGAGGGTTGAGAGTGATCATGGAACCTTAAGATTCATCAAGCAGATGGAGTCAACCCTGAGAGCAGACAAGTTTGCCATTTCTGATGACCCTTCAGAAGTCCCTAAGGATGGACAGAGGAGGTATAGACCAGCAAAGCCAGTACTGGTGGAGAAGTCCCAGTACACAGAGATGGCTCCTTCCAACATGTCTGTCCCACCGGCTGTGGTGGATGGTGTCCTGGCTGAGGAGCAAAAAGAGAAGGAGCTCTGCAAGGAGCCAGCTGTTGGTCTTTCTGCTATAGAGAAACCCTTTGCAGACATGGAGGGAAAACCCCTGACAGAGATGTTTCCAAACCATCAGAGGAATGTGGATGGATCTGGATGGAAACACCTCGAACATGGATTTTGCTGCTTCTGCCTTTGCTGAGACCAGTAGTGCCTCTGGGAATGCTGCAAGCAAGATGGCCACTAGCTGTAAGGAGTTTGCTGCTGCTGAACTCCCATGTGTTCCAGAGCTGATTGATGCTGGCGGGGAGGGGAACAGCACAGTGCACCATATGGAGAGCAAACACAGATGTCTCCTGTGTCAGTGATGTTTCACTTGTTGATATGTCTGAACAACGTGCACGTTTCTGGGCTGAAAGTCCTGTCCTGGAGGAGGAGATGAGAGCTGGAGCTGAAGTTTCTATCAGTGCAGCAGTGAGTACGGACATTGCTGTGAAGTCTATGACTGTGTCAGCAAGTAATATGACTGGTGAGAATGGTAAAGCAATGGATGTGTTGGTGGTGGGTGTTGCTGAAAGGGTTAATGTTGCTGGCAGGAGTAAAAATGACATTTCTCCCCCTGCTCAGCAAAGAGAGGATTCACTATTCAAGCCTGAATATGTACAATCGGTATCTGCTAGAGTTGTATCACCTCTTAAACACACAAATGGTTTTTGCTGCTGGGAGGAATGTGGGGAGCTATGCTTCTGTTTTGGGGAGTTGCACCAAAGGATGGAGAGAGTGTTGAAAATCTTAATGGTCACACTTTGGGGAAGTTTGGTGGTAGGATGGTTGGTGGGCTCAGGAGGAGGAATGTTGTGCAGTTGAGGTGGGAGGGAACCCCACCAGTAAGGGTGGTTGAGCTGATTTTGAAGATGGTGTTTAGAGCCTCCTGATGTATTTGCTTTTATCTGACCAGTTGGCAGCTATGATATCGATTTATCATTTGTAAAACCTGAAGGTCTGGATCTTTTTTTGGTAGAGGTATAGAAAGCGCAGGGGCCTTCAGCAGTGGAGAGGTTTGGTGGCAAAGGTAGTTTCAAAGCAGCCTTTGATAAAATCGGTGACGATCCTGGTCCATAATGAATCCATACCAGAGGCTGATTTGGTAGTGTATTCTAACCCCACTGCAGAAGGTCCTGGATGAGCATGGGATATGGAGAGGGGCCTAGACAGTATCGCTGCAATTGAAGGTGCTGGGCAATGTGGTTCAGCATCTTCCCTGTTCAGCCTATCTGGGGAAAGATAGGCTGACCATTTTCTATCAAGGTCAGTCTAAGGTTTGTAACAAATGCGGAGAGAAAGGTCACTTTGCATCGTCCTGCACCATCAAGAAGTGCTCACTGTGCCAGGATTTAGGCCATTTGTCCAAAGAATGCACCCAGATTCGGTGTAATTTGTGCCAGCAGCTGCGTCATCCCATATAGTCAGTGCCCAGAGGCACTACACAACCTGCCAGGACTGGAGGCTGAGCTGCAGAGGCTGGATGGAGAGGAGGAGGCATCTGATGCTAGGGAGGAAACTGTTGTTGCCCCTCCTGTGTCTGTTCTGTCTGTTGTGTCAGATTCTGTTTCCCCCAGTAATGTCACCGCTGAGTCTGTCCCTCCTGTTCCTAATCCTACTGTACGTAGATCCTCCAGACTAGCAGAAGCTGCTGGGGGGGGGGGGGGACGGGTTTAGCGGATCTTCCCTCTCAGCCTACTCCACATCCAGTACCTGTCCCCGACAGCGCAGACGTGGTGTGGAGGATGTGGGGGTGCTGGATGGTGGTGAAGCCGATGGGTCTGAGGGAAGGGTGTGCATATCCCATGTCTCACCTCCTGCTGAAGAGGATTCAGCTGATGAGGGGTGGGAGAGGGTCAAGAAGAAGAAGAAGAGGATGAGAAGAGCTGTCCTCTCTTCCTCAGAATCAGACCCAGGAGGAGTCCCTCTTGGCAACACCTTTTCAGTTTTGTCAGGTGATGAGATGGTATCTGATAAATCTATTTCTTTATCATCTATGGATGACATCTATGGATGAGGGGGAGTCACATAGCCTGAAGAGAGCTGTTTCGGGTGATGAGAGTGTGGTAGAGGTTAAGAAACGACTATCCCAATCATCCTGATGGCAGTTCCCACTCTGTTAAAGGTGGCGACCATTAATGTCGCCAGCATTAAATCTGCAAGAGCTCGTGATACGGCCTTATTTTTGCTCAGCGAGTTTGATGCTGAGATTTTATTTTTGCAAGAGACCTGGCTAAATACTTTGGCCGATGTCTAGCAAAAAGGGAGTGGAGATGTGGTCCCTCCTTTTGGTCTCTTGCGGCTGAACCTTGTAGTGGAGTTGCGGTGCTTTTTAAAACCGATATGGTAACGTGCCAGCGGGTAATTGAGGTAGAAATGGGGAGATGCATGGTCTTAGATGTCTCTGTTAGGGGGCAGGACCTGCGCCTGACCAATATCTATTTGCCTCAGTCAAAATGGGACAGGAAATGCCTCCTCACAAAGATCCTTTTTACGTCCCAGCAGGTTGTCTTTGGAGGTGACTTTAACACCATAATTAGGCCTGAAGACAGGAGAGGCTCCATGGACAGGGGAGGCTCCATGGACAGGGGAGGCTCCATGGACAGGCTGGGTTATGATAGCGTTTTTCTCAGAGATTTGGTTAGACAGGCAGGCCTGGTAGATGTGCACATTAAGCACTGCCCTGGCAGCACGGGGTTCACATTTCAGAGAGGGAATAGTCAGAGCAGGATAGACAGGTTTTTTTTTGAAAGGAGAACTCTGCTTTCTCAGCTCCTGAGTTGAAGGCGGTGGAGTTCTCTGACCACTGTATGCTGTCTGTTACTCTGAATGCCTCGGACACTCCACCCAGGGGAAGGGGTGTCTGGAAACTGAATTCGGCTCTCCTGGAAGATGTAGAGGTAAGACAATCCTTTGAGGATTTTTTTCAGGCACAGGTTTCTATTCTGGACTTTTGCAGCAGTAAGTCAGAGTGGTGGGAGCTTGTGAAACAAAGGGCGATTGGACTTTTCAAGGTCATAAGTAAGAAGAAGCAGCTTCGTTTATATATTGTCTACCAGCATTTGCGGAGGAAGCTTGATCGTCTTGTCTCGTAGGAGGAGATCCAGGGGAGATCTTTGAGGTGAAGTTTCTTCTTAGGAAGTGTCAATACGATCGGCATGCCTCCTTGGTTCTAGAGAGGGATTATGGGAAATATCACTCACCTGATCCTTACCAGAACTGTAAGCAAGGCATAGCAGTTAAGACGGTCATTGGCCTGAAAGACAGTCCGGGTTCCCTGGTGAAGTCCAGTTCAGGGATCTTGAAGCTCTTCGGGTCATATCATGCAGACCTCCTGGGAAGAAAGGACCTTAGTCGGGACAGGATGGAAAGCTTTCTGGATTCTACTCCAGGATTGGGAAATGGTGCATTGCTTTTGATGAATGACAGAACCAATTTCAGCTGATGAGGTAGTTGGTGCTATAGACAAGTTGGCTACCAAAAAATCGTCTGGGCCAGATGGATTGACAGGTGAATTTTACAAGTGTTTTAAGTCCATTCTGGCTCCCATTTTAGCAGAGGTTTTTAACAGCTGTCTAGAAGAGGGTTCGCTCCCTCCCTCCATGAGGCAATCTGCTGTGATTCTTCTATCAAAAGGTAAAGACCCCTCAATGATTGAGAACTGGCGCCCCATCAGTCTTCTCAATGTTGATAGAAAGATCTTGGCAAAGATTCTTTTTTGGCGCTTGTCGTCAGTAGCAGGCGATTTGTTGTCCAGCCATCAACACTGTTCGGTCCAAGGTAGAAGGACCTTTTCAGCAGTTTTGGCTCTCCAGGAGGCTTTGGAATGATGCAGGGCTGCTGGATGGAGAAAGTACTTGCTGGCATTGGATCAGGCAAAAGCTTTTGATCGAGTGAATCATGAATATCTGTGGTTTCTACTTGGTAGATACGGCCTGCAGGGGAGGTTTATAGATTGGCTGAAGACATTATATAGAGGGGCTGAGAGCTTCCCACTTGGTAATGGTTGGGTTGGACGGCCTTTTGAAGTTGTCTCCGGTATGCACCAGGGATATCCTTTGAGCCCCCTGCTATATGTTTTTGCAATCAACCCCTTTGTAAGAATGCTAGAGGGCGCATCATTGTGTGGGGTGCCTCTGGGCATTGCTGGTGCGTCGCCTTTGAAGGTCGTGGCCTATGCCGATGATGTGTCTGTTATTATCTCTGGGACTGAGGAGGCGCAGGAGGTGGTCTCTGTGAAAGAGCAGTACATGGAGGCTTCTGGCTCTAAAGTCAACCATGAAAAGAGTGAAGTTTTCTGGATGGGTGAGGAGGGTGAAAGCTTCGAACTTCCGGTGACTATGGTCATTGAAATTGGGAAAGCAGGTTGGTAGAGGCCAATAAATGTGTACAAATAAAACTTCAAAAAAATCACCAGCCTCCTGTATATACTAGTGCTGCTGACACTTACATGCGTTTCCACACACAAAATAGGTATATCATATATTATTGCCGCGCATATACCCCTATATACTTATATACAATCTCCTAAGTACATCAAAAAACGTGATTTTAAATACTTGTGAATGC